ATCTGCTCAATAACTTTTGAGATGAAATCCTTGTCCACCTTTCCAGGCGCAGTTATTTTCATAACCTTGACTTTGACCCCAGGAATCATATCTCGCAGAAAAGTCTGGAAACCAGAAGATTCCTCAAGGAGATCAGAATCATCATCTGAATTATCACTCTCTTCATCTTCACTACTCTCGATGGAAAGACTACCCGTATCTTCCTTCCTTCCAGGTGAAGTTAAAAACCTACCAGAATTCAAAGTTCTGGATGGCATAGTTGGTACGTCTGGAAAAATCTCCTTCCATTTTAAGTACACAGCCTGAAGAAGCACACATCAGAAAAGAAGTTCGTAACTCCAATTTAGCATCGAACGTATTACTCCAGCCAGATATTCTAAAGACACATTCATCTTGAGATAACGTGTAGAAATCATAATTCGCTATCTACTCAAAAGGGCCAGCTTCCTAAGCAACCCCCCCCCCCCCCAACACACAAGTTAAGTTCATCGAATATCGCAGTTACTCCAATTGGACAGTAAATACAGAGGATTAAGGAGGAAAAAACCTGCTTTTTGTAGTTTCCTTTTCCATCGAGTGTCAGAAAGATTTCAAAAAGAGGAGCACCAGCAGCAGATGTACTAAGCTGCCTGAGAGAGAAAGGGTTGTCATATAACACAGTTTTTCAAAACAGAGAACGACGTCGATAAATTTCGGCTTTTTGATTCACAAAACCTCACTACCACAGATAAATTGATGAACTAAGAAGATAGAATTACCGAGGATTATAACTTCTTGCCACATATCTTCCATGCTCTGCAGTAATCTGAACAATAAGACCAAAAGGATCTTTGACATCTTCCGAAATACCCGACCACCACCCTACCTGAAAAGCCATATAGAGAAGAAGACGATGTAACACCTCAACAAAAAAAAATGATCTTGTAACAAAAAAAAATCTACACTTATAAGGAGCTAAACCACAGTTATAATGATCTCACCAACCCAGCACCAGCTTTGTCTCGCAAGTAAACCGCATCCTTGTAACGCTCTTCTAGAACAGCTCTCTATCACAAATGCACAAAAAATAGAAAGAAAACATCTTTCAGAATCAAATGAACTTCCCCAAACAGTCTTGTTCGAAACTATGATTCATAAAGAAGAGTTTTTTTACATTAAAACTGGACATGACTCTGCCAACAGCATCATTTGTAGCTGAAGCTGCAATTGCCACCTTTAATCTCGCAGCATCTTCATAATCTTCTCTTTTTATGGCTCGATTCAATTGCGACTGTAACACAAACACAAAATCCCCAAATTAGACACAATTTTCCCACAGAAATCTCTAACCACAGTTTCATAAACACAATGACTATGTGATTGATTATAATGGAACCTTCAGGACGGAGCGAAGACGGTCTTGTTCATCAACTTGTTCGAAATGCTTCTTCCATCGCTCCCAATCCCAATCACCTTCATCTTTCTCGATATTTTTAACGACGTCGTCTTCTCCAGCATCCTTATCCTGAGTCTTGTTCCAACTACTCAATACGGAATCGAATCGTTTGATGGCGCTCTTGAGGAAATCTTGAATCGCGGAGTCCCATTTAGGGTTATTATCATCATCGCC